GATGACCTGGAAGGGATGAAGAGCTCCCTTCAGCCAATGTCTCCACTCCTCCAGAGCGAGTTTGATGGCGAGAAGCTCGCGGTTCCCGATGTCATAATTTTGCTCCGCCGGGGAAAGCTTGCGGGAGAAGTATGCACAGGGATGGAGGATAGGAGGCTCTCCAGAATGCTGGGAGAGCACCGCTCCCACCCCTACTGTGGACGCATCTACTTCCACGACAAATGGTTTCTGAGGAACAGGAAGCGCGAGGGTAGGAGCGGTGCAGAAGGCTTCCTTCAGTCCTTCAAAACTTTGGATGGCTGTGGGCGTCTAGGACAGAGACTTGGGCTTATTTCGGAGCATGGACGTGAGGGTGGCTGTGTGCTGACTGAAGTGGTGGATGAAACGACGGTAGAAATTTGAGAATCCTAGAAAGCGTTGGAGTTCCTTAACGGTCTTGGGTTGTGGCCAGTTGTGAATGGCTTGGACCTTCTTGTCATCCATCTGGATACCCTGAGGACTGATGACATATCCGAGGAACTTGATGGTGGTAAGGTGGAACTCGCACTTCTCCAGCTTGAGATAGAGGTGGTACTTTCTCAGCTGTTGTAGGACCTGCTCCACGTGGTGGCGATGTTCGGCCAAGTTCCGGGAGTAAATCAGAATGTCGTCGATGTAAACGATCACAGAATGATGGAGGAACTCCCGGAACACCTCGTTCATGAATCCTTGGAATACGGAAGGTGAGTTGGATAGGCCATACGGCATAACACAATATTCATAGTGTCCGGTGGGTGTTATGAAGGCGGTCTTCCACTCGGCACCATGGCGGATACGAACGAGGTTATAGGCGCTTCGCAGATCCAGCTTGGAGAAGATACGAGCTCCACGAAGTTCCTCTAGGGCGGCCGGCACCAGTGGAAGGGGATACGGATATTTCACTGTTTGTGAGTTGAGAGTTCGGTAATCAATACAAGGCCGCAAGCCTCCGTCCTTCTTGCCCACAAAGAAGAAACTGGATGCGGCCGGTGAGGTGGAGGGCCGGATGAAGCCTTGCTGGAGAGCCTCCTTAATGTACTCCTCCATCGCTCCTTGCTCCGGGATGGACAAAGGGTACACCCTAACCTTAGGGAGCTGAGCTCCAGGCAGCAAATCTATTGCACAGTCCCATGGCCGATGAGGTGGTAGTTTCGTCGCGGCCCGCTTGCTGGAGGTGGGAGGACACCAGGTGACAGAGGGAGAACTTGGGACATACAGTGCTGCCGACAGTACTCACTCCAGTGTATAACTTCGTTGGTGGTCCAGTTAATGATGGGTGCGTGTTGGGTTAACCAAGGGCGTCCCAGGATGATCTCCGCTGTGGAATTCTCCAGCACCAGAAAAGAGATGAGTTCCTCATGAAGGCACCCAATGCGGAGCGTGATGGTGGAGGAGCATAGCTGGATCTTCCCACGACTCAACGGCTTTCCTTGGATGGTGAGGATATTAAGGACTACTGAACACATCCTGAAACGCCCGGTATTCACTGGGAATGCTGTGAGGTTCTGTGGGTTCGGGGCTCTCGATGGAGGTGGCACAGACCGGGAGGAAACCAGGTGACAGAGGGAGAACTTGGGACATACAGTGCTGCCGACAGTACTCACTCCAGTGTATAACTTCGTTGGTGGTCCAGTTAATGATGGGGGCATGTTGGGTTAACCAGGGGCGTCCCAGGATGATCTCCGCTGTGGAATTCTCCAGCACCAGAAAAGAGATGAGTTCCTCATGAAGGCACCCAATGCGGAGCGTGATGGTGGAGGAGCATAGCTGGATCTTCCCACGACTCAACGCCTTTCCTTGGATGGTGAGGATATTAAGGACATGGGCATGTTTCAGCGGTCGTAGTTGAAGTCGTTGGAGTGTGTTGCGGGATATGAAATTCCCCGAAGAACCAGAGTCTACAAGGGCCAACGCTCCGCATGGGCGAGATGGTACGAATCCACTTGCATGGGTTCTGGTGTTGGAGCCAGTGAGGTGGATGTGCCCAGTGAGGCGAGTGGCTGGCCCTGGGTACAGGCCAGGAGATGTTGGGAGATCTTGATAGCCTTTTGGATGAAATTCTCCAATCCCACGGTATCGTCAAATATCACCATTTGGAGGTGAATGTCAGGGCCCAATGAAGAGCGCGGCCGGCGAGATGAGAGATCATGAAGGCAACTTTGGCGCGGTCAATGGGAAAGGCTTGTGACTGCATCTCGAAGTATAGGGAACATTGTAACAAGAAGCCACCACAATCCGCCGCCTCACCGGAGAAGATAGCGGGCCGTGCCATGGGACTGTGGGAGGCAGACACAACGGGTGTACGGAAGGCTTGGATTAAATCCTCCAGTGAAGTGGGGTTCGGTGGTTGTGGCTCCATGGAGAGTTTGGGGTGGTCTGGTCTTCGGGTGCGGCTGATTAGTACTCCGGTGATTGTGAACGGGTGTGTGAGGTGATTGGGCCTGACGAGGCTGGACTATCCCTGACAATTATATTATCTGCAAGTGCACTTTTTAAAAAGTATATTTTTAAGATTTGAAGTACACAAAAAGTACACTTTTAATACAATTAAGTACACTTCTTTTTCACAAGAGTAAGGAAGGTTATTAACACAAAGTAAGCATAAATTCATGAAAGTAAATCAGTTATAACTAAATGTTTTCAACATTACCTGTGAAGGGTTGAACCTTTGAAGGACTTCAGCCTCCCTGGCAGCTTCTTCAGGATCCGCATTGGGAGCTTCGGGTTCAAGTTCCCTGTTAATACTAGCAGCTTTCTGACATAACTGATCAAAACTTGATTCTGAGCTTTAAAAATATGTCATGAAGAGCAAGAGATAAATTAATTATGAATTATAGTGCAGAAAAATAGGCAAGGAAAAGCTGAGAGGGAGAGAGAGAGAGAGAGAGAGAGAGAGAGAATGCAAGTTAGTTCTCGCCGATCATTCACTGTTAGAGAACTAACCCCTCTGTCTGATCACAGTCAAATCACTGTGTATCTAAAAAAAAAAAGACAGAAAATAACATTAACACAAAGCCCAGTAAGCTGTACAATATCAGAAAACCATACAAATGGGCTGAAAACAGTGCTGAAGAATATCAGAAAGCACTTAGCAGCCAAAAAATACAAGCGCTGATTGATAATTTTCTAAATAACACCTATGCTCACACTAATGAAGATGTCAGTCTTGCTGTCAAAGATATCAATTACATATCTGACAAATCAGCAAAACAATCCAAATTGAAAACAAAAAATGGAAAAAATCAAATACCCAAAAATGGAAAAAATTGGTTTGATCAGGACTGCCAAACTATTCGCAAAAACTGAGAACATTGTCAAATCAGAAACACAAAGATACAAATAATGCAGAGATCCGCCTTCTTTACAATGAAACACTAAAACAATACAAACATACACTCAGATTTTATAGAATATAAAAAAAAACATCCTGGCGTCGTGAGACATTAGATGCAGTGAATGAATCTTCAAATATTTCACTTGATTATAAATTTAGTCAGGAATCATGGTTTGGAAGAAGTCTACTAAAATATGTACAAGTTATGTAACAGTAACACAATAACAACTAATGCAAGTAGGCTAATAAAAAAAGACTTACTCGTGTAAATGATATCCTCCACTGGATATCAAACCACCGCGTTCTTCTGAGGAAAATCCAAAGCTTATTCCTCTCAGCGCGTCTTCATCTGAGGTAAATTCTGTCTTATTCCTCTCAGCACATCTTCTTCCAGAAACGAACAATAGCCGAGATGAACTTGAGAAAAGTCTTGCTGCTTTGTTTACTGTGATGTGGGCGTTTACATGCCACGCGTCTCACGTGGACTATTGTAATATCAAAAGCGCGATCGGCTCGTGGGCTTGATCTATTTAGAGATAATGAAGGCAGACGGGAAAGACTGGACATCGCATTGGTTTCATACGGATTACTTTATCACAGAATGTTTGTTTTCGATAAGAATTGCTTCGTTTAAAATTAGACATGTCAAGCTTTCTATAGATATATCTCTCATGTCTCTGTGTTGAGTATTCACTGAGTTTCAGTTCATTTTAGTGACACGTTTCAAAATGAAGATCACGTAGACCAATGCGGCAGACAGCGCACAATGTTTTTCTTTATTTTACAAAAGCACAAAGTTTTGTTGTTATGTTTGTATACAAATAAAGTAGACCCTTTACAGATTCGATTGATGTATTGCTCTTATCTGTACGATCAAAACTGACTGAGTAATTTAAGTTCTTTTAGAGGCTTTCAAAAAAAATAAAAATAAAAACGCACCAGGGTTAAATCTCAGAGCATATTTCTTCTGTATGACTTGTGTATTTCCATTAACCTAAATTTAACTGTAAATTAAGTGTTTTGTTTTTCAGACCCTGGACATTCAAATGTAAACCAAGCCTGCCAGTCGAGGGGTGATGGGTCCAGTCATAAGACACAGTGATGGATCCCAGCACAGTGACCAGTACAGACACAGTGACGGGTCCCAGCATAGCGAAGGGTCCCATCACAGCAAACGGTACTGACACAGGAAGCAGTCCAGGCACAGTGATTTGTCCGAGGACGGTATTCAACCGAACCCTTATGCAATTCACAGTGGCAAGAGTGTAAATGTTCTAAAGTAGTGGCCATGTTATGAAATATTTTTAACGTATTTTGAGCAACTGGTTTTGTGTTTAACATTCTGAGCCTCGGGATTGACCACTCAATTTATTGTCTATCAAGTATCATCATGGGCAAAAGTAGATGGATTCTTTGAACCGACTGAGCTTGACTGACTGCTACAGCAGAGGCAGGAACTGCACACTGGGGTTCCTCGAGTTATCCAAACTTAATGAATCATATGGGCACAAAACTTGCTACAAGAGCTATATCCACTATTATGAACAACAAGGTAATATTCAACAAATTTTGTCTTTCAGATTATGGAAGTGTTCAAACGCCAATCTCAAGATATTCTGGGAGGTCTTTCTCAGAGCAGAGTAACAGGTCCTCTGCATGTGAATCCAGTCGTACAGGGCCTCGTAGGGAAACAGACTTAAGATTTCCAATGGATATAACAAGTAAGTATTTAAGTGTTTAAACTGTTATCAGAAGCACCAAAAATGAATTGAGCAGGTCATTAGCAGATTTAACTTGTACGTCTGTGTATGGATAACAATAGCATAATTTTCCAATTGGCTCAGTATAAACTGACATGGAGAATTTTGCATGTGTTTCTTTTTGATTTCAGAGTTTCAGAAAAAAAAGTCTTGTCTAAATTCGTGGAAATCCACATGGAGGTCAGAAGGCTGGGAAGAAGTGAGCCTCCCCTTTCATCCGCCCATACAGAGCAGCTGGAGACGATGGAGGACTTTGAGAGAGAGGGGGAATGCCTCAAGGACAAGCAAGCCTTTGAGTCCCTGGTATGATTTGCAAGACACAATCTGGAAGTGATGTAATTTTATACTCTGTTTTATTTATCAATATTCTTCTTTTTAATCAGTGAAACTTGTTATAGTATATTATTTTTCTAACATGACTGGAATATTACCCCCTCTCTTTAAAGGTGTTGCAACTTGCAAGAATTGGAGGGAAAGATGTAAAGGATTGTGTCCACAAAATTCTTGACAGGTATTTTCAACAGTATCCCTACATATAGAACTTGCCAAACACGTTACATTTCTTGTCACAGTTTGCCAGTTGACAGAGGATGTGACATATCTATCTCGGCTTATACTGCACTTTATTCACGGACCATAGCCTCAAATTAGAAACAAGTAGGCTGCGGAAAAACAGGAAGAGCTCCAGAGAACTGCAATTTTATATTTCATAAAAGGACAAATTGATCCAAAATCTAAATTCAAAATATTGATATTTAAAGTCCTCATGAAATTGAAATGGACTCTATCGCACATTGCTATTCTTGGGGTGAACAATTTATCCATGCAAGTAGGGGTGTTCGATATCACGATTTTTGATGGTGGGTGATTAAAATGTCTCCATGATCTGCTTTTGAAGAAATATGGTAGTATCGTGCTACAGCGCACATTCTATCAGTTGCAGTTCTGGCGCCTCAGTCTCATTATACTGTACAACGCCACATACATTCACATCAAATGTTAACTCAGCAGTAGAGTTACACTCATGGACACTGCACGTATTCACAATCACAAAAATACAATATTTGCATGTGCTTTAAAGCCTTGCCGGTTCAAAATGTCCTTCCCGTGCTGCTCTGGCATGCGCTTTTGCTATGTCAAACAGCACCTGATTAATGGACTAAGTTAAGTAAAAATGTCTGATTGCGCTAATTCTGTCAAAAACACACAAGGTTTATATACAAACACAGTTGGTTTTTGATGAAAACATTCCAGGATTATTCTCCTTATAGTGGACTTCAACGGCTACCAAATGGTTGAAAAAAAATAAAAAAGTATGCTTTATAAACAAAAATGCACGCCTCGCACTGCTCTGCGATGCGCGTCCATGACTTCACGTAATACGTAATTACCTTGAAAAGATCACGCTTGACGTAGGTGGAAATTAGGTTTCAAAAGATTTAAACATTCAGGATACGCACACAAAGTGACCATTTTAAACGATAAACTGACACAAAAACATTGGAATATGTGTCATTGAACATACAACAACTTTTGAACGGTCCTCCTTCTCCACATTTGTAAACACTGACTGAGTCGGTACTTCTGCCTACGACAAACGTGACCTTTTCAAGGTAATTACGTATTACGTGAAGTCATGGACGCGCATCGCAGAGCAGTGCAAGGCATGCATTTTTGTTTATAAAGCATATACATTTTTTTTTTTTTTTTTAGAAAATGACAGATCGTTTCACTAGATAAGACCCTTATTCCTCGTCTGGTATTATATCATGTAGAGCCCTTTGAAGCTGCACTGAAACTGTAATTTTGACCTTCAACCGTTTGGTAGCCGTTGAAGTCCACTATAAGGAGAATAATCCTGGAATGTTTTCATCAAAAACCTTAATTTATTTTCGACTGAAGAAAGAAAGGCATAAACTTCTTGGATGACATGGAGGTAAATTATCAGGAAATATTAATTTGAAAGTGAACTAATCCTTTAAAGTGACAGCACATTAATAGTTCTAAACATGTTGCCGCTTGTCATTAAAGGGATAGTTCACCCAAAAATGTAATTTCTGTCATTATTTACTCATTCTTTTGTTGTCCGAAACCTGTATTGATTTTTTTTTTTTTGCTGAACACAAAAGAAGATATTTTGAAGAATGTGATTAACCAAACAGTTGCTGGTCCCCTTTGACAGCAGGGGAAAAAAATGCCATGGAAGTCACCGGGGACCAGCAACTGATTGGTTACCCACATTCTTTAAAAATAACTTTCATGTTCAACAGAAGAAATAAACTAATTCAGGTTTAAAACAACTTGAGAGAGAGAAAATGATGACAGGATTTTCATTTCTGGGTGAACTATCCATTTAATGTTAATAAAACAACAATAAACAAAGCATCTTGACTGAAGAACTTTAATACTGTTGCTTTACTGTATACAGTGCTTTATTTTTATATTTGTTCTTTCAATTTCTTGAATGCTACTGCTAAATACACCTACTGTACCTGAAAATAAAGTACTATTTGTAATGTGTATCTTTGTTCTTATTTTTAATAAGAATAAGCAAGCTATATGATGCATTATGATGTTAATCAGCCTCAGCCTCAGCCACTTGATATTAATGTTATAATGGAGTTAGTGTTGTGTTAAAGTCCACATTAATAAAGTCGGAGTCTACTATTCAAGATGAGACGAGCAATGTTTCCTCTAAGCTGTACGTGTACGTGGCCACGGTGAAGAAATAATATGCCACACACAGGACAGATGCAAAAATGAGTTAGAACCGGTGAATGCGGTTTACAGGTTTCATAGAAAGAATGATGTACGCCAAATCAGTCATTGTAGAAATCAAATACTTTAATGGTTCCGGACGAAATAGCTCAACACGAGAGCCAACACAAATGCAAGGACATGTGAAATAAAACGTCATCATGCTTTAAAGAAGACTGGCTTGATTAAGTGGTGGAAATAGCAGATGATGGGCACAGAACAGTAATTCTGTCAGGACCACTATCGTCAAAGATCAGCTGACTGTCAGCTGATGTGAGCTTAACTAATGTGACCTGCCAGAACTAACGCTATGCTCCATTTCTGTCAGGACCACTATCATCAAAGCAATTAGCATACATTTTAGGTTGGGGGTATATGGTTCTGTTCTGGGCAACACTCCCTGCCCATCCATGCAGCCTAGCATGGATAGGAGCAGGGAGAGCATAAATAACCCCCCTAGGGTAAACTGAACAGAACCAACATTAATGATTAATGTAGCAGATATCATCAATGTTCTAAGTGATTATTTTATATATCAACATAATTCAGTGGTCAAGAATTAAGAAGAAATATCCAATGCCAAGTCCTGACTGGACGAGAGGAGGAGTTGGGGATGGAGGTGGGTGATTAGCTCCTAAGCAAAGCATAGCTGCTGAATAATGATTGAAAGGACCTTATAAAGGGAATTATGATTGGTGTTGTATTCCTATTGTATTGCTGACGTAATATGTAAATTATATGCGTGCGGCCCGCGAGACTTGCACTTGGACCATAGTGCGGCCAGGTGGAAAAAAAGGTTGAGAACCACTGCTATAGGTAGACATGGATTAGCTGAGTGTCAGCTGATGCGAGCTTGACTAACATGACCTGCCAGAACTAGCTATGCTCCATTTCTGTCAGAACCACTATCGTCAAAGATAACTTACAATTAGCATACATTTTAGGTTGGGGGTATGGTTATGTTCTGGGCAACACTCCACACGCCTGTCCATGCAGCCATGCTTGGACAGAGCGGGGAGAGCAGCAAGACAAACCCCCCACCCGGGGTACAGAACAGAACCATTATATGCATACATAATTACAATTCACAATTACATGAGTTGTAAACAATATGTGATAGAGAATGCTTCCAATGAAGTGACTGTAAGGAAGAAACAAAGTCAGATCGAATTACAGCGTTACGCATTTAAAGTAACGACCAAGTGGCCAGCGGCAGACAGTGAGCATATGTTTGATCAATTTAGCCTTCTCTAATCATCACGACTTGACTAAAATAAAATATATAGATCTAAAACAGTTCAAGCATATAACAATGTTTAAACGTTAAACCTAGATAAATGTGCGCTATATCCAATAGTTTGTGCGGAGAGTGGAAGCTAAAGCGCGCTTTGCAAGACATGGAGGCGCCAGCGCGATCACTTGCATTTTTTTCAGTGGATACGCTGTCATTTTTGCTAATAAAGGTAATAGTAATACATCATTCGGAACTGTAAAGGGTCTACTTTTATTTGTGTGCACTCACAATATCAACAAAACGTTGTGCTTTTATAAAATAAATAGGAAAACAGGGGATGCGCATTCTGCCATCTCGGTTTCGAACAGGAGTGCTGAATGATGAACTGAAACTCAGCGAATTGCCTCACAGACATGATATATATATATATATATATATAGAAAGAGAGAGAGAGAGAGCGAGAGAGAGAGAGAGAGAAAATATTAATATGAAGAAGAAAAAACAAAAAAATAAATAAATAAATATATATAACAAGTATATTTAGCTTATGTTATATATTAATATATAACATAAGCTAAATATACCAATTTATGTCACTAAAATTTGCAAATATAGTTGTCGATTTCACCCAGACGTGCAATTACCACTGAAGCCAAAAAACAAACAAACAAGCAAAAAAAAAAATAATAACTTAAATAAAAAATAAAAATAAAGAACAACAAGCATGAGGGCATTTTATTTTCCCGTTTTTAGATTCCTCGAACCGAGCGCACCAGCACACTTCAAAGTGAACAGAAGAACATCCAGCCAAGGTCAAAGAGGATACAGCTCTCCCCTTCCGCAAGCTCCCTCTGGCATACAAACCTTGGAGTTAACCCTTCGCACAGAGTCCAAGAGAGATTTCAAAGTCTCTGATGGGTTATGGGTTCGCCTTAGCCAAAGGTTTCTCTCATTTGCAGTTCATTTTTTCCTGTAGATCTGTTCATTTGTATTCCGAGTCACAGGCGGCATTCTTATAAGACCTCAAACACACGCCCTACACACACACAGGTAAACCAATATCATTTCATCAACACTCCTTTTTTCTACCACTATTTTTCTGGAGACACTGTGTTTCGTTGTGAAAGCGAAACTACTTTGTTTGGCCTTCCAAAAGAGGACACAACTAGAATTCAGTGGTTAAGTTGTATTTACAACGCTGTTGCAGAACAGTTCAAACCAAATAGTCATGTGTGTGCAACGCATTTTACGGAGGACTGTTTCCTGACCCCTGGGAGAGTAGCCTACAATACCGACTGTTCTGACTCACAGCCTGTAAGTATGTTTTCATATTTAAAGAATTTGCCACTGATGATTCAAACACGAG